ATACCATGAATAGGGTAATGCCGTTCTAAAAGCCGTTGTGCTACTGCTTCTGCCGAGATATCGTGCATGCCTTCCAGTTCAACTCCCTTTGTCAGCCGATCAGTGACCACCATGCAGTTCGTTGCGTCATCGCGTCCAGATGGCGGCAAGTCCGTAATAAAATCGATTGAAAGTTCTCCCCATATACGTTCTGGGATCGGTAGCGGTTTAAGGAGGCCCTTCTTTGTCTCTCTCCATATCGTATTCCTCCCGCAAATCTCGCAGTTACGGACAAAGCGTCGCACGTCGCTTGCTACACCTGACCAGAAGAACTGCCTTGATAAGATTGAGTAGGTAAGATCTCGTCCAGGATGGCCGGTGATATGCGAGTCGTGAATATTTTGAATAATTCGTGTGCGAAGTGGTTCGCAGTCAGGGATCCATATCCGGTCTCGAAATCGCAACAGGCCTCTCTCGTCCAGGGTGCATTCTGCTATACTCACTGACTTCTCCTTCTGAAGTTTGGTAGGGAGGTTCCGCTCCTTGTTTGCTACCAGCGTAGTGAGCTCCTGATAAAGCTCATCCTCTTGGCGGCTTCGGTGCCAGAGATTTTGCATGTCCTGGTCCTCAAACATGCGTATCTCTTCTGTGAAGTCAATCTCCTCGGACGACAGGGACTGGATTTGAACACTCTGCAAGTGCTTGCTCTGGAAAAGACGGATAAATCGAGACCGTATTCGTTCATCGTCGTAGTTGGCGGGTAGGTCTTGTTCTCGTCGTGACAGGGCGTCAGGTTTTCCCATAGTCTTTCCAGGTTTCCATTCCAGGGAGAAGTCGAATCGTGAGAGAAACTCTGACCAACGTACTTGTCTTTCAGACAGCTGTCGTTCGCGGTAGAAGTATTGAAGGTTCTTGTGGTCCGTCAGAACTGTGAACTTCCTAACCATACGTAGTTCAGGAGCCCATGCTTCTAAGCAACGAACAATAGCTAGAAGCTCCTTGTCATGAATTGGATAATTGGCCTCTGTTGGTGAGTGCTTCTTTGAGTAGTAGGCAACGGGTTGCCAGTTGTTGTTCTTGTCCTTCTGCAGCAATAGGCCGCCAGTTGCATGTCCTGAGGAGTCGGCTTCTACCAAGGTGTCCTTCTCTGGATCAAAATGGCCGAGTATTGGTGCTGTAATGAGAAGTTCCTTAATCGTTTCAAATGCTTGATTGCAAGCCTCGTCCCAATGAAAAACCATCTCTTTCTTAGTTAGGTTGATAAGCGGTTCAGCAATGTCCGAGAAGTTTGGTATAAAAACTCGGTAAAAGTTGGCAAAACCAATAAATGCTCGGATAGCCTTAACTGACGTTGGTGTAGCCCATTCGCGGATTGCGATAATCTTTTCAGGATCAACTCGAATGCCCACTTCTGCTTCCACAATGTACCCGAGGTATTTGACTCGTTTAGTCTCGAACTCGCACTTGTCGATATCAATCTGCAGTCCAGCGTCTATAAGGCGTTGAAGAACCTTTCCAACCTTCTCTCTGTGATCCTGAAGCGATCCTGACGAGTAGATTAAGATGTCGTCAACGTAGGCTGAAACAAAGTCGTCAAGGTAATCCTGTAGAACACCATTTACGTAGCGTTGAAATGCGGCTGGTGCTCCTGTTAGTCCGAAGGGAGCAACCCGCCATTCGAATAGGCCGTATCTTGTTCGGAAAGCTGTCTTCCATTCTTCTCCTTTGGCCACACGGATCTTGTGGAAGGCTGCGATAACGTCAAGTTTTGTGAACCATTTAGCTTTAGCTACATTTCTCAGTGTTTCTGTGAATAGAGGCAGAGGGTAACGGTCCTTCCTGGTGATGTTGTTCAAGCCTCGGTAGTCAACGCAAAATCGGATGCCCCCTCCTGGCTTTTTGACCATCAGGACGGGTGCAGCTGCGGGAGAGTTACTTGCGCGGATAAAATCCTTGTCTAACAGCTCGGTGAGAGTTTTCCTAAGCACTAGTAACTCTTCTCGGCTCATGCCGTAGAGCGGACCCCATGGAATGGTCTTCTCGTTTCCGTCTTGATCCTTTTCAATCTCAATGTGGAGATCAACGCCTTTACGATGTGGGGGAAGTTTCTCAGCTAGGAAATGGTCGAAAGCCTTCAGCCATTGGTGGTACTGGGGTGGGAGCTTCGTCTTTGGATCGGATCGTTTGCGCGGTTTCAAAGCTTTCTCAATGTCGGCGATGGAAACAGCGAACAGTCCAGTGTCGAGCGCAATACCGTCTCCTTTGTTCTTCCTACGGCTTCTTCTCACCTCCGCCATGAATGCGGAAGCCATCACCTGAGTAGCCTTCATTAGTGGTGGCTTGTATGACGCTTTCTTGTGGTTCCATGCGCGGATGTTTGACGCGCCGATATCTAGGCAGCCTTGTTTGGCCGAAATTGTGACGTCGGCATCTTCTAACCAGGGCTTTCCTAGGATCACGTCGTAAGTTAGGCCAGGTACAACGTAGAAGAAGACGCGTTTCTGCTGGTGGCCGTCTATGTCTATCGAGGCGTAAGTAACTGTATCTAGGACAGTACTTGGTTCTGCGTTCTTCCCAGCTGCTTCCTCTAGCTGGCGCGGGGCTATCTTGATTGATGGCAGTCTCAGAGATCGAAAGAGTTGTTCATTAATGGCAGAATAGCAAAGGCAACCTGAGTCAACAAGTCCAGTGACAAAGTCAGTTCCATTAAGTCTAACGTCCAGTACAAAGGGATCGCTATCCATCTTTTGCTTTCCGGTCTCTTTCCATTCTTTCTGAGCTGCCGCGTGTTCCTATTGCTCTGCTTCGGAGTCTTCTGGATCTTCCTCCTCTACAGCTGCCTTGGTGACCACAGTACTCTTTGCTGTCTTGACGCTAACGTGAGTTGGTCGTAGAGCGGCTGCTAACGGGCATGTAGCTATTCGGCAATTGTTGCGGCCGCATCGGAGGCAGCGTCGTTCCTGGCGTCGAGCATCGATTTCCTCTTGGTTGACCCATTTTGCTCGTTTTCCAATAAGTTCTCGGTCTTCGGGACGCCTAGATGGATATCCATTCATGTTGGTCTTGCCGCGGAGGCCGACAGCGTTCACTTGGGTAGTTGTAGGCTGCGTAGGTTCCCATTCCATCATGTCTTCAGGGGAAACTGCTGTGAGCGTGGCATTATTTGATTTTGCTGGTGGTTCATAGGTTAGTGCATTTTCAGCAGTTCGGCTACCGTAACGGCGGGTTGTTTTCGTCCATTGGCCGAACAACTCCATGTCGTTGCTAAGATCTACACACTTCTGAGCGAACCTTGCGTATATGCTTGTTTCTGCTCCTGATGTACCAACAAGCCTATCCTTTATCCTACCACTTAATGCGTTGCGTAAGTAGGATATCTTCGTATGCTCAGGCCAGCTTTCTGCGTCAGCGTTGGCCATCTCTTTCTCAAACCGTGGATAGAAGGAAATAAACGTCTCGTCGTCCTTCTGGCGTATAGAGTAGAGGTTCTGAATGGCTTTCTCCTTCCGATTTCGTTCGCCGTAGAGGAGTTCAAGGCGGTCAAGCAGCTTGAAAGGGTTTGGCGATTCTTCTTTAACTTGTATCTCGTAGTATGTTGTAACGTTGGTTTTCGCTGCCCCATCAAGACGCATGTAGACGTAGCGTAGCTGAGCTTTTAGGCTTCCAATAGCTTGCGCGTCTTCTTCGATCTTGCCCTCCATCTCTAGCTTCCATCCTCGCCATTGTGATTTGTTTCCACCAAACGTAGGCGGGTGGGGTAAGCTGTGCCGCGGCTTTGGGGTTATAGGCACAGATGTGTTCGAAGTCTCGGAGGTTGGCGTTGGATCAGTGGTGGCGTCTGTATTGTGACCAGGCGTTTGAGGTAGCTCGTGCGATGGTGCTTCCAGCCTCTCCATCCTAGTGCTCATGTCTTCAAGTCTCTGTAGTAGCGACTGTAACAGCTGGTTCGAATCGTTCGTCGTCATGTCAGTATCCCCGGGGGAGCTCATTATAGCGGTGCTTTGGTTGCTGCGTGTTCTGCGTGTTCTGCGTATTCTGCGTATTCTGCGTATTCTGCGTGTTCTGCGTGTTCTGCGTGTTCTGCGTATTCTGCGTGTTCTTCTTGATCTTGACTGTATGTGAACGGTCTGTAGGGACTGTATTCCAGCTACCTAGTCCAGATGCTATTTACAGTCAAGATGAAGAAAGAAGGTAAGACGCAAGCGGCGAGCCTGCTTTGTTTGGGTTGGCGCACGGCCCTCACGTTGCCGGGGAAGCGACTAGGCTAGCAGCCTAGTCATGTGACTCGAGGCTCAGCCCGTTACAAAAACAGTAATTTATACGCCCAAGGGCGACAACAGCGCAGACCATTGAAGAATGCTGACAATTTTTTTTTCAATCTCTCGGAAAAGCCAGCGCTCATCGAGTTGAGCATCACGCTTTTTGTTTCCCCTGTCACCAAATAAAGTGGTAGAGGAGACGAGCAACACATGCGCTGCCCGTTCGATGGTTTTTGAAGCCAAAGACACAGACTGTACACTCTTATCCTTATTGCTTTGGATCCCGGGAGAAGCAGGTGATTATCATCCTGCTTCTGAATTTCTAAGAAAGTAGAAGGTAGAAAGTAGAATAAGGTAAAGAGGAAGGAGAGAAAGAAGAAGAGGTACAGGTAGTTTAAAAGAGGGAAAGAGGCAGGAACGCACCATAACCAGTTTTCCAGGTCATTGAATCTTCCGCAGGAGAGTCACATATAAAACATGCCTCGTTTTCTTATTTTCTGGGCAAAGGTGGAGGAAGGCAGCACACATCGTTCCACACAACCTTTTTTTGAGAAATAGAAGATTTTGGGAACTTCATTTTGAAGATGAGGAAGGAAGGAGAGAAGGAGGAAGAGGCGGAGGAGAGTGGCTTTTATATGCGATAGTGGGGGGCAAGTGGGATCAGACGGCCAGTCCATGCGACGAAATCGAAATGTCATGTCTGATGACCGACATTGTTTTGAAAATTTCAGGCATCTACTCAGCCGCTCCCGCCGGAAGTTCCTACGCCTCAATAACCTCCCTCAAAGCCTTTGCACTCTTCTCCAACTTGCCCTTCTCCTCATCATTGAGTTTCACATCCAAGACCCTCACCACGCCCTTCCGCCCCAACACAACCGGCACACTGAGGCAAACGCCCAAACCCGCCTGCCAACAGCTCACAGGCCGTATGATCTTCTCATCGAAAAGCACACTCTTGCAGATACTCGCCGCCACACCGCCGATCCCATAGTTTGTCGCTCCCTTGTTCTGAATGATGCTACTCGCTTTGTTTCTCGTCTCTTCTTCAATGGCCTCCTTATCAATCCCCTTTGTGTCACTAGGCATCGCCTTCTCCAGCGCAACACCGCCGATCGACGCGAGACTCCATGCCACGAATTGTGATTCGCCGTGCTCGCCGAGAACGTATGCTTCGATGCTGCTAGCAGCTACTTCGGCTTTTGACGCGAGGATACCGCGGAGACGCGCCGAATCGAGAAAGGTGCCGGAGCCGATGACTTGCTGTTTGGGAAGACCAGAAAACTTTTGCGCGAAGAAGGTGAGGATGTCGACGGGGTTGGCGACGATGAGGAGGACGGTGTCTGCGCGGAAGGTCTTCATGTCTGATATTGCGGATTCGAGGATGGCTTTATTGCGGCCGATTAGGTCGGTTCTGCTTTCGCCTGTGTGGGTTAGGCTTGCGATTTCGTTATGAGTGACTTGTAAATGCGTCTGAGGCTCACCCTTCTTCTGCTTTGCGCCGGCGGCAATGACAACAATATCGCATTGACCGGCTTCTTCGTGGGTTCCTGCTCTGATCCGCGTGCTGGTGTTGCCGTGGAAGGTGGCATCGGACAAATCCTGCACCTGTGCGTCTCTTACTTCTTCCTTGGGATCAACCATGAGGATATCACCTGCTGCTGGGTTCATGATAAGTGAGTAGGCAATGGTAGCTCCAACATCGCCAGCGCCGAGAATGGCAATCTGCGAGGTGTGTTTGGGGTGTTGAGGCATGTTGGATAAGGTATGGGGTTAAATGAGGAAAATGTCCTGTGGTGTGTTGAATGCCTTCAAGGTCTTTCTGTATTTCAACTAGCAAGCTACGTCATCGTGATGGCGCTAGTTTATATGCAGCCCATAGACAGTCCGCCTGTCGCATGTGCGGGTCTAAGCTGTAATGAGTACTGTAAGGGTCCCGGCGGTAAGCAGTCATCCCATATCCTCTCTATGCCATTGTAGCAATGACGGTATCTTCTCCCTCTTCGCAACCCTTTCTACACGAACTCGAGAACACTGGGAATCCGTCTCGTACGTCGTGCGGACGCTCGAGGTTTGGGTTGTGGCTGCTCCCTGGTTGGCTAGCGGACAATTTAGTATGGTCCAAGGCAAGTTTGCAAAGCAAAGTGAAAGCACCGCGAAATCTCAAGTATATTCACGATACCTTCGCTGCAATTTCTACGACAGGCGCAGTAGCCTTTTTCTTCCTGGGTTGTGTTGCAAGACCCTTCATCAACATTAGGGGTATCACGTCGGTGGCTTTGGTGCGGCTAATGGCCTTTCGGCAGACGGGACATTGCGAGCGCTTGGTTTCGTGGGGTCCAGTGCGGTTCTCGCCCGCGATAAGAGCTTCCATGAGGCAGGTGTGGCAGAAGAGATGGCCTATGTGCTGTTAGGATATGGATTGAAAAGGAAGGAGCATTCAGACGCACCACAGGCAGTCGCGGTCAGGTCGGTAGGGTTGTCCATGCAAATGACGCAGTTGAACGTGTTGAAGGTGGTGACCGTCTCTTCTGGCTTTGCTTGTGCCTTGACAGCATCTTGACGCTGTTTCTGTAGGACCTCCTGCATTGTTGTGTTGGCTTCGGTCAGGTCAATCGATTCCACCTGTTCACGCTTCTCCTCGTTCTGCTTGGCGTCTTTAGCCGTGCCATCTTCCCGCTTGTGTCGCTTGGCGGATGGACCTGGTGTAGGCGACTCCCTTTTCCGTCTCTGGGGCGGCGAATCGTCGCAGAGATTTACGTATCCGTTGGATAGTCTCCCAGGCTGTGGGCGTGAACGCGTTGTAGGCGGCATCTCTGGCGGCGGGAATGGGTTGGCAAAGGGCGAATATCTGCCGTGATCGAGACCTGCCGGGTTGAGAATGTTCTCAAAGAAGCCAGTACTATACGATACGGTGGGCGCGGGATGGTTACTTCCGGGGGACTGGGCGTGATTGAGGAGCCAGGTAAAGGATGGTGGAGATGGTTGTGGCGGTGAATTGTTGTCGCTCATGATGGCATCCCCGGCCGAATGGTGGCGAGGGCGAATAGCGGGCGGCGGACGGCGGACAGCGAACAGCAGACAGCGGGCAAGTCAGGTGAGGCCCACCTTCACCGTGACAGAAATAAAGGGAGTTGTCGCTGGATGGCTCTGGCAGTGCATGCAGACGCCATATCTGCGCAGCGATCGCCTACGGGCTCGGGCTTGTGTGGCACAGAGAACATGCATGGCGGGCCCGGCCGTGGTAAGGCTGAGGCCTGAGGGGAACTGATAAATGCAATCAGGCGCCAAGAGAGGCAGCTACTACGGCCTAAATCAAAACATGACGACACTATCAGACTAGACGCCGCCGATAATTTTGGAGAATTGATATTCGCTCTCTCGACGCAATGCAGTGACGCCCTGTCTTTTCCGTGCGATGATGCACCTAAACCATCGCACTCTGGTCGCAAACGCTGTTAACCGATGGCGACCGTTAGCGACGCAAAAGCCTTTCGCGAACGCCTCAAACTGGAGATGCCTCGCTACAACTCGCCCGGCAAGGGCCGCTGCCCGTAAAGATACAGCCAAAGGAAGCTTGGCTGGTATGCGACAAAGAATATACCAAAAGGCTCGGCTAATGCATTCTAGTCTCCTCAGAAGCCCGGTTTAGTCCCATTGGTGTTCAGCATCTTTCTTCGCACATTCACGCCCAAGTCTTTCCCGGCGCAAAAACCGAACCACCACCCGAACTGGTCGCTCTTTCCGAGGACCACCTCAAACGCCATGATTTACTCGGCAAGAACCAGGACCAGACCCCTCCCGTGGGGTTTGACATGCCCGACCTGCAAGGCGCCACCCTAGACGAGCATTTCTACAAACTCGGCATGGACACGGCCGAGCCTTTCCTAAGCATGGCGAAGACGCTGAGATGGGCCAATCCTCCCCCAAGACCGACCAAGTGGGTGCGACAGAGCGGGTGGACCAAGTACCACAGCGACGGAAAAACCGAAAAAGTTGACGTGCCGGACGAGACAATGCTGGTCTTTGATTGCGAAGTCATGTACAAGGAGACGCCATTTGCTTGCATGGCATGTGCAGCCAGTCCGACTGCATGGTATGCCTGGATATCGCCCTGGTTGTTGGAGGAATCCGAGTCGGATCGCCACTTGATTCCACTCGGAGATACATCCATACCCCGTATCATTGTCGGGCACAATGTAGGCTACGATAGAGGGCGAGTAGCAGAAGAATACCAGATTACGCAATCAAAGAACTGCTTCATCGATACCATGTCCCTACATGTCGCTTCCAACGGCATGTGCTCGCGCCAACGCCCTTCATGGATGAAGAACAGGAAGACTCGGGAACAACAGGAAATGGCGGTTGACGACGACCAGAATGCAAGTATAGGATTGGACATGAGCGCCGCAGAGGAGGAGCTGTGGATGGGAAGAAGCGCCATCAACTCACTACGAGATGTAGCAAAGTTCCATTGCAACATTAACCTTGACAAGGCCCAGAGAGAGTATTTTGGTGAACTTGACCGTGCAGGTGTGCGGGAGAAGCTGGACGAGCTGCTGGACTACTGCGCCAAGGACGTCGAGATTACACATCAGGTCTACCAAAAGGTCTTTCCACTGTTTCTTGAAACATGTCCACATCCTGTCAGCTTTGCTGCTCTGCGTTTCTTGGCTTCCGTAATTCTGCCAATCAATGAGACTTGGGACGTCTACCTCAAGAATGCTGAAGGGACATACCGCCACCTGGACGACGCTGTACGCGCACGGCTAGTTGCTCTTACCGAAAAGGCGCTCGAGGTCAAGGAACAGCCCGAAGTGTACAACAACGATCCGTGGCTAAGCCAGCTCGATTGGTCAGGGCAAGAGATCAAAATGGTTAAAGGGAAGAA